TAACTTTAAATAATAAGGAAGTATCATCAGCAAACAATACTATCTCATGTTTTATACCCTCCATAAGGCTAGGTAAATCATTAATATAAACTAAAAACAAAAATGGGCCTAGAATTGAACCTTGAGGGACACCCATGCTAATTACAGACCCTAACGATCTCGTACCGTTAACATCGACCCTCTGTACCCTACCACGCAAATACGATTTAAGAAGGTCGAGATCACGTCCCGCCACACCATAATGGCGAAGTTTCCTGACCAGTGTATCATGGTGCATACAATCAAAAGCCTTGGAAAGGTCACAGAATACACCAATAGCATCATGTGAGACTTCCCATGCATCAAATATATGATTAATCAACTCTACACCAGCGTCGGTTGTAGAGCGACCCCGAGTGAAACCAAATTGTTTAGGAGACATTAAATTATTACTATAAAAATGTGCACACATCTGATTTAGAATAATTTTTTCAAATATTTTACTGAGAGTTGGTAGTATTGATATAGGTCTGAAATTGGTGGGGTCAGAAATACTACCAGATTTGAAAAGTGGAATAACTTTACTTTGCTTCATGAGGTCAGGAAAGACACCATCATCAACACATTTATTAAAGACACAGGCTAAGTAAGGCGCAATACAATCAACTATAGAACTAATTACTCTGACTGAAAGACCATCAAGATCAGCAGTATTTTTTATATTTATAGACTTAAAGGCTTTAACAATATCGTTTGGAAATACATGACGGAACCTTAAATTAGTGATACTAACTGCATTATTTTCTTTTAGTAAGGATTCAGCGGCCGTGGGAGATGAATTTAACGAATTAGTAGTCAAAATTGGAATGTTGGTAAAAAAATTTTCAAATATTTTAGCAACTTCTGCGTCTGTGTTTACAATTTTGTCATTAAATCTTAGTTGAAAATCTAAGTTACGAGGTTTGACCCTTCCAGTTTCGCTATTTATAATATTCCAAGTCGTTTTTACTACATTCGCGCTGCTTTTTATTTTATTATTAATAAACATTGCTTTGGCTGCCACACAAACACGTTTAAACATTTTCGAATATTTCCTAACAAAATCATTAAAACTGTTACTAGTGTTATAAGTTCTTTCATCGTAAAGATCATACAGCCTTTGTCTACTTTTGTGAATTCCCACAGTCGCCCATTCACTAAATTTCAATGAATTATTAATAGTTATGATTTTGGACTTAAAAACATTATCACGTTCACTTTTCACTATGTTGAAAACTGAATTATACAATTTATTGGGATCGTTAACGTACGGAATGTCAGTTAGTTTAAGCATTACGTTATTTCTATAAGCTTTAAGTCGACCATTATTATTATTATATGTTGTCTCTACATCGGCGAACTTGTAATCTGAGACGATTCAGAGATTTCCATATCGACCTTATTATTTTACAATTGACGATATTATTTTAAAAACTGCAAAACGATGTCATGGTTAATAAGCTTCCCGTGAATTTGTAAAATTAGGTTTCTGGATGCGCTAATAAAACAGTTTTTATTTCAATTCAAGGCAGAAGCAGAAAGGACGCATTGGAACTTAGGACGTTTAAACGACGAAACCCGAGATGCGATTATTTTGCCCATCTCATCGAGTACATAGACACTTCACAACTGCTGCCACCATAGACCAAATAAATATACTTCCGTGGCTGCCACAAACTGAGAATTTTAACCTAGGTCGTCCTAGTGCAACTCGGACACTCGTGGAAAGAGTGCTTACCTAAAAAAGTTTTCTAAGAACTATACATTAATTATAACAACTAATATACACACGTGGTTTATTTGTCTTTAATTTTGACACGAATAAATTCCATTCCAGTCTGGTTTTCGAAAGGGTCGAGGCACAGCAACAGCTCTGCTGGACGTGGTCGACAATATTTTGGCAGCACAGGATGTTGGGAAAAACACGTTTCTGGTGTTATTGGACTTCTCCAGAGCTTTCGAATGTTTGAGCATACCACTTCTATTGTCCAAGATGTCGTATTATGGATTTGACACTAAAACCATCGAATGGTTTCATAGCTATCTTTCGGATCGGACTCAAATAGTTGCACTGCATGCGGTTAACGGTGCCACTGAGTATTCCTCTCTCCGCCCTGTAACTAGAGGTGTGCCCCAGGGTTCCATTTTAGGGCCGTTATCTATATTTATAGGTATTTATATTATACAGTGCCGATATCGTTACTAGTATAAGAAACTGTAGCTACCACCTGTATGCGGACGATTTGCAACTATACATATCGGGTAAGCCATCTGATACTATTGCTTCAGTCAAAGACATCAATGCTGATATAGATCGTATAGCGGCGTGGTCTGATAGGAACTGTCTAGAACTGAATCCAACTAAGTCTAAGTACATGGTGCTTGAAAGAAAGGGTCAAATCCATAATACACTGGAAGCCCTTGCTTCCAGAAATATTGCGGTTATGGGTGAACCAATGGAACGGGTCGATAGGGTCAGAAACCTCGGAGTACTGATGGTCAGTGAACTTCGTTTTGAGGAGCACATCCTCAATGTGACGGGTAACTGTTTTTATCGACTCAAATTGTTGTATGGCATTCGTGATTACCTTAGCGTTGATTTGCGTGTACACCTTTGTGAATCACTGATATTGTCGCGGTTAAACTATTGCGATGTAGTATATAGTGATTGTATTTTTAGTAGGTCTAAGAAGTTAATACAACGTGTACAAAACGCATGCGCACGCTTTTGCTTTCGGGTGCCTCCTAGATCCCATATCACCCCGTTTTTAAATGCTGCAAGCCTTTTAAATAAGACTGCTCGTCGGCAGCTACACCTCTCTATGTTGCTGTTCGGTGTAGTGAGAACCGAGACACCTGAGTATCTCTATCGCAAACTTCGTTGGTCTCAAAACTGTTTTAAATACAAGGTTCGGGCTATCATTCCTGCTCACCGCACAGCAGCTTTCAGAGGAAGTTTCAGGTTTGTGTCATCCAAGTGCTGGAATGATCTACCCCCTCCTCTTCATGACACTTCTAGTAGGAATGCTTTTAAGCGCAAGCTTAAGGCTCTCCTGCTGGAAAATCAAAAGGGATTGTGTTAACTTTTCCAGCACCTATTTATTTATACTTTTTATACACATTTGTTATAAAATATATTAGTTGCTTGATGTAGGTATAGTGTATACGTATTAATTATTACAATGTATTTTCATAGTTATACATAAATTATTTGGAAGTATTTAAACATACACAACACACACACTCACACTCACACACACACACATCTGTTACAGTAATATGTACGTATATATAATTATTTTACTGTTATATTCAAGTACCAAAGTATGCTTGCATATGTTGTTCCGTGACCTCACTTAGGGTCTTAGGAACGCGTTGCGTTTTCCAGCAATACTGAGTTTGTGACCCTTTTGTTACCGCGGCTAGCACCACACAAGGTATCTCAATATTTAGTCTTCTTTTTATTATTAGTATGAATAGTTCCTGTTTTAATTTTATATAATTTTTGTATATACATTTTTATTTTGTGTTTATTTGTGTTTTTGTTTCGTAATTATATATTTATCTTTTACGTTGAATGTTTTGATCGTGTTTTGTTTTAGTTCTGTTTTGTTCGGTTTTCTCTTTTTTTTTGTCTTTTGTCTTTTGTGGTGTCATTGTGGTAAACAAATAAATGTATTTTCTTTCTTTTTTCTTTCTTTCATTAAATATCTTGTTAGTTATTACAGACGACTACCGGAATACCATACAATAATATTCTTTACTATTGTACTACATACATATGTATAGCCGAAAAAATCCATAAGTTTTCCGTGTACTCTAGCCAAATGACCCGTGTGACACCTGCACTGGCCCTGTCTATGATTGACATAGATCCTAAAATGCGCTAAAAACTTTCCAATTTGCCTAACCACAGTTCATACCCTTGGTGTAATAAGGCCACATTTGCAAAATGAGAACTTCAGGAAAGAGGCTTATAGATTCTACGAACGAAAATAGGTTCACGGCTATGCCAAACGAAGGGAAAGTACTTTTAATATCATAGATGGAAAATTTTCTGAAAGAAGACTTCATTTTGATTTTAAAAACAATTCGAACTACATAAAAGATTTTTAAATAATCGCCTGTCTGTGTAATAATCCTTCAAATGTAATAAAAACATGTCATTTTACTACACTGATCAAAAACCTCAATCATAAGGATTGTTTTCTTCTAAATAACGTAGCATCTTAAATAAAAGAAAGACCATGAAATTTAACATTTAATTAGAAATTTACTTCAGGCAAATGAACCTGTCAAACATTTACAGGAACCGGTATGAGAATGTATAGGGTTACCATTGACTTACAAATAAATGGACGACGGGTCTAATACAAAAACCACGAAAAAAATGTCCCAAATCAACCTATTCGAAATTTAAATTGTAATGTCATCGCAGTATCGCGCTGTCAGTCGAACAAATGAAGACTAAAGCGGAGTTTGGCGCTCTGTATACGATTTTAGCGCCTTACAAGTGCGGACACTTTTTAGCGCGGACCCGACGTCCATATAATTGTAAGTCAATGAGGGTTACAAGCTGAAATTAGACGTATTATTTTAAACATTCAAGAAAAGATAAATAAATCAATAGGAAGCGAAATTTTCAAAAGAGTGAGAATTTGTATACTACAGAATGGGATACATTTTGAGCATTTGATATCTTAAATTGATTGTAAGTTGCAGTTGAATGTATTTAATTATTTTTATTAAATATTAAATTTATTGGTCTTTCTTTAATTAAGATGCTATGTTATTTAGAAGAAAACAATCCTTATGATTGAGGCTTTCGAACAGCGTAGTAAAATTACAGATGTTTTTTTCACATTTCAAGGGTTCGATTCCCGGTTCAGACAGGCGATTATTTAAAAAACTTTGAATGCAGTTCGAATAGTTTTTAAAATCAAAATTAAGTCTTCTTTAAGTAAAATTTTCTATCTACGGTATTTAAAGTACTTTCCCTCCGTGTGACATAGTCGTGTGACGCCTTGTATATCATTTGTTTCATGTAAACAAAGCACTTGTAACGTATTATCTCCTGTGGCTTTATTATACCAAGGTTACGAGTTACTTCTTTGTAGGAGGGTAATCACACTTAGTTTTACAAAGCGAACAAATGTACGTCGGTTCTTCAGTGGTCGTAACTGGTTTCATCGTGGTAGTTGTAACTGGTTGTTTACAGATGTAGATGTAATGCGGATAATGCGGATAATGCGGGTAGGGATGTGGTGGGTAATCATGCCAGTGCTCTTTCCAAGGTCCTTCGTCGTCATCTAAGTAGATTTCTGACATGTCTGTGGAACAAAAATGAATAAAATTAATGTTAATATTATTAATCAAGCTATGTAGAGTGTAACGCAAAGATGAGACTATATTTCAGCTTTTTTTTATACCAAGTGGCGGGACAAACAAGTCGGGTACTTGATGGTAAGCGACACGCCCGTCCATAGGAGTTGCAGTGAAGTTTGACTCTGAAGTTTGAATTGCAAAGATCTGTTACTCTGAGACATATGTTGACAAGTCCCATGTGCCTGTAATTTCCCTTCCAAACCTGAACGTTGTAATGCAAGTCCCATGTGCCAGTAATTACCCTTCCAAGCCTGAACTCAGTAATGCTCACATTACTGCTTGGCGGTAGAAATAGGTACGGTGGCAGTATTTCCCTGGACGAACTCTTTCACAAAGAACTCTACTGATACCTTAAGTTTAAAATATAATCCTGAGAGACATAACGCAGCAGCACGCAGCACACGCCGCACACCCATAGCCCCGCACTAGGGAAACCCTGTGTCGCGGGTACTATGGACACACACATAGACAACCACAAATTACACCCAAACTCACGAAAGAAATATATGAAGGCCATACATATATTTCTCCCGACCGGGGAATCGAACCCAGGACCTCTGCGTGGCAGTCCGGGACGGTAATCGTTCGGCCACAGAGGCAGTTACACGTAGTAGTAGACATGAGTGACATGGTTCGTAACTTTAAAAAAAAAATGGTTCGTACCGATAAAGACAATAACTGTCTTTGTTTAACTATTACAAGCCTTCTTTAGCCAAAGAAGATAGCATTACATTGGTCTGTGTCAAACACGGGAATTGAAAATACGTAACGTCATCTTAAATGTCAACCATGTCTATTTCGCAGTACATGAGGTACATGATACCATTGTCAAAGGGAAGTACATCGAATGTCAAAACAAATGTACTATTGAATTATTCGCATATATTATAATTAAATTGGACACAAATATTGACAGTGATAATAATTAGGTATTAATAAAAATGCGACGCTGCAACATTAAGGGATGTGGCTTTAGAAAAAGTGCAAATCAATCGAATGTTACATGGCACAGGCATGTGATTTTTTTTGTCTATAAATCACACAATAGCCCAAATATTTCATGTAATTAGACTTATTTAAGTAGTTTATTTATAAATCTTGCCAAATTTTGCTTTTGTTACTTTAGATTACCTGTTTGTTTGTATATTTTGATGATTGTTGTTAACGATTATTTTGAGATAGTGTTGATCTTGTAAGCGTACATATTATCGATATTCTGTTATTAAAACAATTCACTACGAGGTTTTTATTGTTTTATTATTTTTATTTTTATTATTTCAAGTTTTCCTACAAATGAAAAAAGGAATAAAGAATGGTTGGAAATCATAGGACTGCCGAATACAAACGTTGGATCAAAGACCATCTTCATTTGTTCGCTTCATTTTGAAGAGTCAAATTTTAACAGAACCTTAGTACTAGAACATGATAATTTGAGGGTGTGTTAATTTTATTTAGTGAATGAGTACTAAGAACGGATTTCTCTAAATTCATCCCCTAAAAGGGCGAAAACGGATAAAAACATTTGCATTAAAAATAATATTCCTTGAAATTACATAGACGAAACTTTGCATAAATATTTTACAGTAAAAATGGTAAACAAATGGCATCACAGTTTTTCAAAAATGCGGCGAAATGGGGTAATAATGTGTGTATGGTAACTTTTTAACGCGTGGTGCGATTTGCTTCATACTTGAATATTTTTCATTTGTACCGGGTGTAACAGAAAGGTGTGGTCATATTAAAGGACCCAAATGTACACTTGATTTAGACCCTGTGTGCAAAATATCAAATAAAAATAAGTGACTTTTAATGTTGATATAAGTTTAATTATGTTTGTATAAATAGTGATTGTCCGAAACAACCACTGCGTCACAACTCTATTGCTAGTTACGTTACTACGACTTCACAAATTCATTCATGTAACCTGGGCGGCCGCAAGCGGGGCGAAAGAACAGCTGACTACAATTGAAATGCCATTGTAAAAACATGATTTGAATATGTTGATAATACGTTAATATTAAGTAACAAAATCTTTAAATACCTAGAAAAATCGAATTATTTCTAACAATATTATTTTATGCCATACCTAGGTACGCGTACGTACTTATTTACATACAATTTAAAGAATATTTATTTACTTATTAAGCCCGTAGTTACGCACGCCTTCATCGTATACACATTCTACATAGTTTAGTATTAATACATTTATTTACGACAATTTTACAATAGTGGATACTTTTTTAATTGGTACTTACCTACTGTTCAATTCATACACGTTTTAATGAATTTCCTACGAATTGTAATTCACTGTTGTACAATGTACGAAATATTGACTTGTTTACGATAATTTTTAATAATAAGTACAATCACTGCACGCACTGCTGGCACATTTCACACATTTACAGGTAAGGTTCAAAATGCCGACCTCCATGCAATATGCATATTTCCGTGCGTCGGTACAGAGACTGCTCTACTCTTTGAAGCATCTGCCGAGTGATTTGACTAAATGCCATTTCGATCCGCTGCCTCATTTCTTCTGCGCTTTCACAGGACTCCGCATAAACAATATTTTTTATATGACCCCATAAAAAAAATCGAGCGGTGTCAAGTCTGGGGACCGCGCTGGCCAGGGTACAGGACCTCCCCGCCCAATCCACTGCGGGAAACGGTCGTTCAGATGGGAACATACATTTCGAGCAAAATGTGCGGGTGCTCCATCGTGCTGGAAAGTCATCCAGTGTTCCATCACGAGTCTCACGTATTGTGTCACTGGCAGGGCCATCAGAACGTCCTCCAAGTCTTCTGTTAGGAATCTTAAATAATTGGCCCCATTCAGACTTGCCGGCAAAAACACTGGACCGATGACGGCACAACCTATTATACCAGCCCACACGTTAATCCGCCACTGGTGTTGAAAATTTGATTCCCTTGATACGCGGGGATTCAAATGAGTCCAAAAATGTTCATTATGCATATTGATAATGCCCGCACGCGTAAATGACGTCTCGTCTGTCCACAGTACCGACGAAACGAAGTCGGGAGACCTCCCAATCTGGTCGCGGTACCAGCGGCAAAATGCCAAACGTGGATCATAGTCCGCTTGTAACAGCTCCTGCGTTCTTTGAAAATGGTATGGGTGCTGGCCATCATCCCGTTACACACGCCACACACTCATATGGTTCACACCACCAAAGGCTGCCGCAGCACGACGAGTACTTGTCTTTGGATTGCCGAGAAAATGTTCCAAAACATCTGCCTCGAATTCTGGGTCTCGTAAACTCGGCCGGCCTTCAGAACTGGAACCACGGAACGATCCACTATTATGAAGTCTCATAACCATCTTCCTGAAGCATTCCAGAGTGGGAAATGGTCGACGTCGATTTTCTGGGACGCCATCAATAAACTTTGCCCAATAAATTTGGCGAGACTGGCGCAAGCTCCCATCGGCTGCGCCTACGCACAACATCATCTCATAGTAATCACTATTGCTTAAGCGTGACATAGTTTAAATAAACACAAAAACGAGACACAAACAAAACGATGGCACCTATTTAGTCGTCACAACGCAAACGGCAATTACAGACTGTTACAAAAAATAAAAAATAGTGCCTCTCTGCCTCAGCGGCGGCACATCAAAGGACGCCGACTGAAACGCAAATTTTGGAATATAGGGTAACGTTTTCATAATGTACCTACAGGATGAAATTAAAATTGTTACCATCCTTTTAAAATAAGACCCTTCTCATGAGACAGATATTCTATCTCACGAAGGCGGGTGAGTAATAGTTGTAGTAGTGACGTGTACAGATAAGCGCCTTTGTGTGCGTAAGTTCACGTAGCGATAGCATATCAATCGTAAATATTTTTTAATTATTAATTTTCGTTTGAAACTTATATTATAATTTGTTAAGCTTGTCAATTGTTATTACTTAGTATATAGGTATAATAAAATATTATAGGTAGATTGCCATTGACTTACAATTATATGGACGTCGGGTCCGCGCTAAAAAGTGTCCGCACTTGTAAGGCACTAAAATCGTATACAGAGCGCGACACTCCGCTTTAGTCTTCATTTGTTCTACGGACAGCGCGATACTGCGATGACATAACAATTTAAATTTCGAATAGGTTGACTTGGGACATTTTTTTCATGGTTTTTGTATTAGACCCGTCGTCCATTTATTTGGAAGTCAATGTAGATTGCATACAAATATCATTTATTCAAAGTCTGAAGACGATTCTGTCATGCTGTCGTCATCACTATCATCTTGCAAATTTATTACGAATTCAAAATCTAAATCAAAATATTTTTAATATTCTTTTTCTATTTTTTCAACACGGCTACAAGTATTACGCCACGTTTCGCTGCTGACATTATCAATACTTTCATTTATTAATATGTCTGTACTTGTTATATTTTGCTCGATGTTTCTCGAAGCAATGTATTTTTTTATAATTCCCCATACATTTTCGATAGCGTTTAATTCTGGATGGTAGGGGGGAAGGCGTAACACATCAAATCCTTTGCTTTTGATGAACTCGTCAATTTTAAATGTTACAAACTCTTTCTTATGTTTTTTTCCATGCTGACGGTACTCATTTGGACAATCTGACGCGAACACAATTAGCACAAGTGATCTGGACGAGCTCGAGATCGCAACTGAGCGCTCCTGAGCTTACGCACACTAAAACAATGTGCATGTACACGCGTAACAACACCTTTGGCTCACCCGCCTTCGTGAGATAGAATATCTGTACAAATTACATCATTACATACACATTAAACGAATACCTATATCCTACGTATCTATGACCTTCAACGTTGCACTGCATACGCCTTTGTTTGTAAACATAACTCTGACCATCACCCGTACCACTTCCACACAACGCAAGAACTGACTGGGTGATTACGGATATACTGCACTAAGGAGGCAGTCACCCATCG